ATGAACTCATGATTATATAGTCTCATTTAAAAAGTATTTCCTAGCTTTATCTTCTTTTTATTATTATTAAGGTTATAAAAGTTAACATCCTTGTGAAATTACAGTTGTACATCATTATTAGTCATGTTGTAGGTACACCACTTCACCCCTAGTGCCCTCCCCCCACCCCCCTTTCCCCTGGCAACCACCGATCAGTTCTCTTTGTCCATATGGTAACTACCACCTATGAGTGGAGACATACAGAGTTCTTGTTTCTCTGTCTAGCTTATTTCACTCAACATAATACTCTCAAGGTCTATCCATGTTGCTGTGAATGGGACGACTTTGTCCTTTTTTATGGCTGAGTAGTATTCCATTGTGTATATATGTACCACAACTTCTTTATCCAGTCATCAGTTGCTGGGCACTTAGGTTGGTTCCATGACTTGGCTATTGTGAATAATGCTGCAATGAAGATATGGGTGCATAGAACTTCTGGAATTGCTGATTTCAGGTTCTTAGGATAGATACCTAGTAGTGGGATAGCTGCGTCATAAGGTATTTCTATTAACTTTTTGAGAAATCTCCATACTGTTTTCCATAGTGGCTGCACCAGTTTGCATTCCCACCAACAGTGTATGAGGGTTCCCTTTTCTCCACAGCCTCTAAAACATTTGTCACTCTTGGTTTTGGATATTTTTGCCATTCTAACAGGTGTAAGGTGATATCTTAGTGTAGTTTTGATTTGCGTTTCCCTGATGATTAGTGATGATGAGCATCTTTTCATGTGTCTATTGGCCATCCATATATCTTCTTTGGAGAAATGTCTGTTCATGTCCCCTGCCCATTTTGTAATTGGGTTATTTGATTTTTTATTCTTGAGTTGTGTGAGTTCTTTGTATATTCTGGAGATTAACCCTTTGTCGGATAAATAACTTGTGAATATTTTTTCCCATTTAGTGGGCTGTTTTTTTGTTTCAATCCTGTTTTCCTTTGCCTTGAAGAAGCTCTTTAGCCTGATGAAGTCCCATTTGTTTATTCTTTTTGTTGTTTCCCTCATGTGAGGGGTTATGGGGTCCGAAAAGATTCTTTTGAAGCTGATGTCAAAGAGTGTGCTGCCGATACTCTCTTCTAGGAGACTTATTGTTTCAGGCCTAATCTTTAGGTCTTTGATCCATTTTGAGTTTATTTTAGTAAATGGTGAAAAAGAATGGTTGATTTTCATTCTTTTACATGTGGCTGTCCAGTTTTCCCAGCACCATTTTTTGAAGAGACTTTCTTTCCTCCATTGTAGGCCCTCAGCTCCTTTGTCAAAGATTAGCTGTCCATAGATGTGTGGTTTTATTTCTGGGCTTTCAATTCTGTTCCATTGATCTGTGCATGTGTTTTTGTACCAGTACCATGCTGTTTTGATTACTCTTGCTTTGTAGTATGTTTTGAAGTCAGGGATTGTGATGCCTCCAGCTTTGTTCTTCTTTCTCAGGATTGCTTTAGCAATTCGGGGTCTTTTGTTGCCCCATATGAATTTTTGGATTCTTTGTTCAATTTCTGTAAAGAATGACATTGGAATTCTGATTGGGATGGTATTGAATCTGTAGATTGCTTTAGGTAGAATGGACATTTTAACTATGTTTATTCTTCCAATCCATGTGCATGGAATGATTGTTTCTAATAGTTTTTCTATGGCTTCTTTGGGGTTTTCTATATATAAGATGATGTTGTCTGCAAACAGCGAGAGTTTTACTTGTTCGTTGCCTATTTGGATTCCTTTTATTTCTTTTTCCTGCCGAATAGCTCTGGCCAACACCTCCAGTACTATGTTGAATAAGAATGGTGAAAGTGGGCACCCTTGTCTTGTTCGTGTTCTCAGATGGATGGGTTTCAGTTTTTGTCCGTTGAATATAATGTTGGCTGTGGGTTTGTCATATATGGCCTTTATTATGTTGAGGTACTTTCCTTCTATACCTATTTTATTGAGGGTTTTTATCATAAATGGATGTTGGATCTTGTCGAATGCTTTCTCTCCATCTGTTGAGATGATCATGTGGTTTTTGTTTCTCATTTTGTTAATGTAGTGAATCACGTTGATTGACTTGCGGATGTTGAACCATCCCTGTGTCCCTGGTATAAATCCCACTTGATCATGGTGTATACTCTTTTTGATGTATTGCTGTATTCAGTTTGCCAAAATTCTGTTGAGGATTTTTTCATCTATGTTCATCAGTGATATTGGCCTGTAGCTTTCCTTCTTTGTGTTGTCCTTGTCAGGTTTGGGGATCAGGGTGATGTTCGCTTCATAGAGTGTATTAGGGAGTGCTCCATCTTCCTCAATTTTCTGGAATAGTTTGAGAAGGATAGGTATTAAATCTTCTTTGAATGTGTGGTAGAATTCTCCAGAGAAGCCGTCTGGCCCTGGACTCTTATTTTTGGGAGGTTTTTGATTATTGTTTCTATTTCTTTACTTGTGATTGGTCCATTCAGATTCTCTATTTCTTCCTCATTCAGTTTGGGTAGGTGGTATGAGGCTAGGAATTTATCCATTTCTTCTAGGTTGTTCAATTTGTTGGCATATAGTTTTTCATAGTATTCTCTTATGATCCTTTGTATTTCTTCGGTATCTGTTGTGATTTCTCCTCTCTTGTTTCTAATTTTATTTATTTGAGACATCTCTCTCTTTTTTTTTAGTGAGTCTGGCTAAGGGTTTGTCGATTTTGTTAATTTTTTTGAAGAACCAATTCTTTGTTTCATTGATCCTTTCTACTGTCTTTTTTGTTTCAATATCATTTATTTCTGCCCTAATTTTTATTATTTCCCTCCTTCTACTGGCTTTGGGCTTTGTTTGTCCTTTTTCTAATTCCGTTAGGTGTCGTTTGAGGTTGTTTATGTAAGATTTTTCTTGCTTATTGAGGTGAGCCTGTATTGCAATGAACTTCCCTCTTAGGACTGCCTTTGCTGTGTCCCAAATCATTTGGTACGGTGTGTTTTCATTTTCATTTTCATTTGTCTCCAGGTAATATTTGATTTCTTCTTTAATTTCTTCAATAATCCATTGTTTGTTCAGTAGCATGTTGTTTAGTCTCCACATTTTTGGCCCTTTCGCAGCTTTATTCTTGTAGTTGATTTCTACTTTCATAGCGTTGTCATCAGAAAAGATGGTTGATATTATTTCAACCCTCTTGAACTTATTGATGCTTGCTTTGTTTCCCAAGATATGGTCTATCCTTGAGAATGTTCCATGCATGCTTGAGAAGAATGTGTTACCTGCTGTTTTGGATGAAGTGTCCTATATATATCTATTAGGTCCATCTGATCTAATTTTTCATTTAATTCTAGAATTTCCTTGTTGATTTTCTGTATGGAAGATCTGTCCATTAGTGTTAATGGGGTGTTGAGGTCCCCTACTATTGTATTGCTGTTGATGTCTCCTTTTAGTTTTGTTAATAGTTTCTTTACGAATTTTGGTGCTTCTGTGTTAGGTGCATATATATTTATAAGTGTTATGTCATCATGGTGGAGCATCCCTTTTATCATTATATACTGCCCCTCTTTGTCTTTCTTTATCTGTTTTGCTTTGAAGTCTACTTTGTCTGATATAAGTATGGCAACACCTGCTTTCTTTTGTTCATTATTAGCTTGGAGTATTGTCTTCCATCCCTTCACTTTGAGTCTGTGTTTGTCTTTGAGGCTGAGGTGTGTTTCCTGGAGGCAGCATATTGTTGGATCTTGTTCTTTGATCATCCTGCCGCTCTGTGTCTTTTGATTGGAGAGTTCAATCCATTCACATTTAGAGTGATTATTGAAACGTGGGGGCCTACTGTTGCCATTTTATCACTTGTTTTCCGGTTCTTTTGCATTTGTCCTGATGGAGAGCTATTACTTTGTTTTATTGTCCTTCTGCTTATCTCCTTTGTTCTGGATTTTGTAACCCCTTTCCCTTTTTTGATTTTTCAGGAATGAGTTTCTTCCTGAGCAATTCTTGAAGAGGAGCTTTTGTGGTGATGAACTCCCTTAACTTCTGTTTATCTGGGAAAGTTTTTATTTCTCCATCGTATTTGAAGGATATTTTCACTGGGTAGAGTATTCTTGGCTGCAGGTTTTTGTCCTTCAGAGTTTTGAATATTTCATTCCAATCTCTTCTAGCCTGTAAGGTCTCTCTTGAGAAATCTGCTGATAGCCTTATGGGGTTTCCTTTGTAAGTTATTTTCTTCTGCCTGGATGCCCTTAGTATTTTCTCTTTGTCGTTGACTTTTGCTAGTTTCACTACTATATGCCTTGGGGTTGGTCTTCTTGCATTAATAAAGTTTGGAGATCTATTGGCTTCTGTCACATGAAGTTCCATCTCTCTTCCCGAGTTTGGAAAGTTCTCAGCTATTATTTCTTTGAACAGGCCTTCTGCCCCCTTCTCCTTCTCTTCTCCCTCTGGTATACCTATAATCCTTATGTTGCATCTCCTAATTGAGTCGGATAATTCTCAGAGAGTTTCTTCATTTCTTTTTAGTCTTAGTTCTCTCTCCTCCTCTGCCTGCAGCATTTCTATATTCCTATCCTCCAAATTGCTAATTCTGCCCTCCATATTATCGACCCTACTGTTCAGAGAGTCCAGATTTTTCTTAATCTCCTCCATTGTGTTCTTCATCGCCAGTATTTCTAATTTGTTCTTCTTTATAGTGTCAAGCACTTTTGTGACATAGCTCCTGAACTCGCTGAGTCGTCTATCTGAATTCTCTTTTAGCTTGTTGAGTTTTTTCATAATGGCAGTTTTGAAATCGTCATTTAGGTTATAGATTTCATTGTTTTTGGGATTGTTTTCTGGGTGCTTGTCATTTTCCTTCTGTTCTGGAGATTTAATATATTTTTTCATAGTGCTTAATGGCGTGGATTTGTGCCTCCGCATAGAGATAGAGTTTAGTCGCTGCTTCCACTTGTTGCAACTGGTTTGGGGGACGGGTGCAGCTGTTTAGACTGCACCAACCAGGAACCCTGTCAGCTGTTACTGACTGGGCCTGGACCCCTCCTCGTAGTCACAGTGGTCTTGTGGGGTCCCTCGTCAGTTGTGGGGGCAATCACAAGGGGGCCTCAGGCTGCTGGTGCCTACTGTTGCAGCCCACTTAGACGTGCTCCCTCCTTGTGGTCTGCAGCGGTGTTGTGGGCTTTCCCAGCAGCCAGGAGCAGGATCACTTATAATCTCCGATTTGTCCCTAACAGAGCCCACCAGATCACACTTGTCCACTATAGGTCCCAGCAGAGCTATGGGTTATCTTCTGCAGTCTGTCGTTAGCTCACCTAGCTGTGCTGCTTTTGCCCCAGGGCCTTCCTGCCTTGTGATTGCCAGTCGGGACCTCTCCACTAGTGCTGTGCAGAGGCTTTTGCTGAGGCTGCTGTAGGAACCTGGAGTTCCCCCCTGGGCTATGTAGCTGTTTCACCGGAGCTCCACTCTGTCCCACTCCACTCTCACAGGATCTCTGGGAGCCGCTTGCCTCGTCTGGGACATGGCCAGAGTCCGTGGGCTTGGCGGTGGCTTGTAAGCTGCTGCCTTGTGGGGAATTCTGCTCTAGGGAGCTTCCTGGTGTTCTGAATGCTGGGCGGGGCCTCCCTGCCAATGGCGAGCAGAGGCCCTCCCTGCTGGGGGTTGCGGGACCTTGGAGCGACCCTCCGGGCCGCAGAGCTGGGTGTTGGAGCTCCACCCAGTCCCCAAGCGTGTCCACGGGATGTCTGGGCACCCCCTGCACCGACCTGTGCGCCGGAGACCGTGAGCCCAGCGGCAGCTTGCGGTCTGGAGCCACCCCGGGGGATCTGCCCACCGGGAGCTTCCCTTTGTCCTGGATTCTGGGCGTGGCCTCCCTGCTAATGGCGAGCAGAGGCTTTCCCTCCCGGGGAGATGCAGGACCCCGGAGCCTTCCTCCGTGCCGCAGAGCCAGGCGCTGGAGCTCCAACCGTGTCGCCAAGCACGTCTACGGGAAGTCCAGGTGCCCTCTGTACCGAGCCGTGCACCAGAGACCATGAGCCCAGTGGCAGCTTGTGGTCTGGTGCCATGCCGGGCCCGCCAGGTGCTTCTCTTTGTTCTGGCTTCTGGGTGGGGCCTCCCTGCTAATGGCGAGCAGAGGCCTTCCCTGCCGGTGGGTGCGGGGCCCTGGGGAATTCCCCCTGGGCTTAAGTGTGATCTCGGGTGGCTTGGGTAGGGCTGTTGTCACCTGTTTCCACCGTCGCTCCGCTGGTGAGTGCACACTCCTGCCCTTGGTGTGTGGCGATGCTATGGGGGAGTCCACTGGAAGAGAGCCTCCTGTAGGAACCAGGCTGTCCGGGGGTCGGGGGTCAGAGAGTTTTCACCTATTTCCACCTCCTCCCAGGGGGAAGTCCGTCTGCCTTCTGATGTGTAGTAGCATGAGACTTTTAGGCATCTTGAGATGCTATCTGGATATCCTTTGTTAATCGGTGAATGTCCACTTAGTTGTCTCCTAGCTTTATCTTTGAAAGCAGCCTTGAAACAATGACCAACCTAGTAGTAATGAACACCTCTAGTTCCCAGACTACACTTTGTAAAGACCTTTTCCCATTATCAGGAACCAGGGCTCCTTGGAAAAGTGACTGATTCTACTACGTTTGGGAAGATGTTCTAGATGAACAGAATATCTTGTCCTACAGGAAAGGAAGAGCTCCCAAGACAAATGAGTCACATCAGGAGCTAATTTGATAGAATTCAAATTAGCCATAAATGGGACATTTTTGAGCATGTAAAGGAGTAATGAATACAAAGAATTAAAAAAGAAAAAGCAACCAAACATGAAATATGGTAAAATTCGTAAGTTTATGTTGATACTTAAACAAAAAAAAGCTTCATTGGTCACTTTTGGAGGATGCTAGAGAACCAAGTCATTATCTTAAACACTGGCAAATAAAGGGAGAGGAAAAAAATAATTTCCTGCCTTTCCTTTAGGAACCGTATCTCAGGCTAACCATAATTTATGAAGGAAGGTTATTTTTTATTAGAATAATTCCAGCTAATAAATGCAGAAAAATGGTAGAATTAGAGCATCACTATTTTGTAACCCCTAATGAGATCATGGATCTAGTTAGTGATTATCAAAAGCTGCTAAAATCAGGAAATTGTAAAGCTAATGGGGAACTTTATAAGATGTATCAGGCTGAGACCACTTGAATGTATTCATCAGTTGTAACATTATAAAAATAAACAGATATTAGTGCCTCTGGATATAATACAGTAATTGAGGTTGGATCTGATCAGGCCTCTAGGACCGTCTACTAATTTACAGGAGATAGAGGCACGTGTGAAACACACAACAGATGTGCAATTAGTAACACCCAGAATATGTGACATTCTAGAGGCCAAATGACCTTCACTTCAACAGGTTACAGATTACATTTATAACCTATAGATTAAAAGAGATTTAAGAGACATAGCAACCAAATTCAGTGGGTGAACCTTGATTGTTTCCCAATTGAAAAAATGTAGGAGACAATTAGGAATATTTGAACACTGCTTGTATATAAGATGCTGTTAGAGATTAGTGTTAATTTCATTGGCACTATTATGTTGAGACGTTTGAAGCTGTTTTTCCCCCTTCAAGCCATTTATTCATGGTGACTGTACCAGTCTTTGTGTGTAGGTAGTCATCTGTCCATCTTGATACCATACATAAAACTGAACAATAACTTCCTTATAAATATCAATCTAGTTCCCATTTTTTTAATTAAGAATTATACTTTTTTCCTTCTATTATCATTATGGACTCGTGACTTTTTACAAACTTAATTAACTAATTATTTTAGATACAAATTGTTGACTTAGCCATCAGAAACTCCTTTAAGCTGGCTCCTATGTCCCTTGTCACAACCCTACACACACACACACACACACACGTGTGAACATGTATATGTAAGTATATATATGTTACATATTTTAAAACCTCAAGGGCAGAGGGTTGAGTTCGCCATATTCTGTTTTGTAACACATTTCCCCCACTGGTGTGTGCAGGGTCCAGTTTTTCACTCTTATATTCCCACTCCATTCTCCTCCCTATTCCCCACCTCATCCCACACCAGAATAGGCAAACATGCCAATGCATTTAATACGTATCTTACCAACCCTATGAACTTTGTTCACATCCTTGCTTTCTATTAATGTCAATATGTCCCATACTCACTTTGTACCTTCCAGAACCGGTGCAAAGAAACCTCATACATACTTCATACCTTCCATAGGCTATAAAAGAAAGAGCCATCCTTCCAAGGAGTCCTCATTCCTTTTAGTTGTAAGAGATCAGAGTCTTTTTTTTTTTTGAAGATTATATTTTTTTCCTCTTTCTCCCCAAAGCCCCCCCAGTACATAGTTGTGTATTCTTAGTTGTGGGTCCTAGTTGTGGCACGTGGGACGCTGCCTCAGTGTTGCTTGATGAGTGGTACCATGTCTGCACCCAGGATTTAAACCGACGAAACACTGGGCCACCTGCAGCAGAGCACACGAACTTAACCACTCGGCCACGGGGCCGGCCTCGAGATCAGAGTCTTAAGGACTATAACATACATTACTACTGAAGTGATATTATTTAGAACCACTTTAATAAACAGAGCCAGAGATTTATTAATAGGCCATTTTATCTTCTAATTTCATTCCAACAGTACTCTAAAACATACCTATTTAAATTTTAACTTTTTGCAAACTAAAACTTTGCTTTTTGTAATTATTCAATGAACCATATAATATCATTGTAACTGGAATTATTGAATTATGGCCTTAACCAAGTTTTAATATTTATTAAATTCTGTTTTATACTCTCTTAGCATTATGTTAATGCTCCTTTACCTCGTTCTGTTCTTGGCTGGCTTATTACTGATGCTTGACTGCTTTTCAATATTGCATACAATTTGTTATCGACTCTTTCTCGAGGCATAAACTCGCTACCTTCCTGGCTTGCAACTTTGGCTTCCCCTTATGTTTTGACGCTTACGCAGAGTAACTCAATGCCTACCTGCTTCTCTCTTTGGGTTGGTCCTGAAGCCTCCCCACAACCCGACTATCGTGTAATGCAACTTCTTTAAGAGTTCCAAACATGTATGTCTATTAACTAAGAGTATTTGACGTTGTTCAGAAAGATGAAAGTGCTGTGTTTAAGGAAGATTAATAAAACAAAAATGTTGTTTGTAATTTGAGTGCCATAATGAGGATTTATAGGTGAGTAGGACACGATTTCTGGTCTTAAGTCACAGGGTAGAAGAGAAAACTATATGATATTAATGGATTTCCTAATATTGAACCAACATTGCATTCCTGGAATAATGTGGTGTTAGAATCTGTTTGCTAAAAATAACTTTTTTAGAATGTTTGCATTGATGTTGTGATGTATGGTTTTCTTTCTTTGTATTGTTTATCTGGTTAAGGTTTCAATATTATTTTCCTTCATAAAAGGAATTAGGAATTTTTCTTCTTTTCAGTGCACTGGAATAATTTATAGAATGTTGGGACTATCTGATGCTTCAAAGTTTGATAGAATTCCCCTGTGGTTTTTTGTGGGATTGCTCTTTAATAACTTTATTTATTTATTTATTTTTTTAAAGATTTTTATTTTTTCCTTTTTTCTCTCCAAAGCCCCCCAGTACATAGTTGTATATTCTTAGTTGTGGGTCCTTCTAGTTGTGGCATGTGGGACGCTGCCTCAGCGTGGTTTGATGAGCAGTGCCATGTCCGTGCCCAGGATTCGAACCAACGAAACACTGGGCCACCTGCAGCGGAGCGCGCGAACTTAGCCACTCGGCCATGGGGCCAGCCCCAATAACTTTATTTTTTAATGAAAATTGGTCTATTCCAACTTTCTAATTCTAATGGGGTCAATTTTGGTAACTGTATATCTAAGAAATTATCTATCTCAAGTAGGTTTTCAAACTTATTTGGATAGGGTATCTGTTCTCTTCATTACTAATTTATGCTTTTGTCCTTATAATTTTCTTCCATGGCTTTCTTTTCCTTTACTTTGTTTTTCTAGTGTTGTGAGCTAGGAATTTAAATAGAGCCCT